AATAATTTTAATATATATGGTTCATTAAATATCATTACATAATCAAAATTATTTTTTAGTGGAGGGGCTTGTCTTTAATGATATAATTATTTTTCCTGTTGATTCTCCTGGTAATAACAAATTTTCCCTGTTGTAAAAATTAAAGAAAAGAATAATTTCTATTTTTAACTGAAGTCTATGAGGATGAACTTAATGATTAGAATATTTTTAATCAATGTTATCTTTGTTTCAATTAGCTGCAGAAGTCTAGTTTATCTAATGTCAAAACAAACTTATCTTTTCAGTGAATTAGTTGTTGGTGTAGTTTAATCCAATTTGTTTTGGGGCTCAGTATAGCCTTTTCTCCTGTTTTCAAATTTCAATATAAATTTTAGCAATATACAACAGTGGATTCAGTGAAATGGACTCTTTAACCATTTATAATGTCTACATGGACTATTTTGCTACTGCTTGGCTTTTTTTTTTTGTTGTCTTAACAAATGCAAAGGATTTACACAACACACACATATATATCAGTGGATAATATACACACATACATGTATATATATATATATATATATGTATATATATATATATATATATGTATATATATATATATATATATATATATATATATATATATATATGTATATATATATATATATATATGTAAATGTGTGTGTGTAGTAGGATTCAAAAGATGCAAAAATGTTTTTGTCTATAAAATTAGTCTCTTATTTTTTTTTTTTTTTGCATTCTTATTTGTTGTCGACTAACAAAAAGTGGACTAAATATAGACACATGGCCCAGTGGATAATGACATTGGCTAGACCCAAAGAGCTGTGAGTTCAATGCCAGGCCACAGAAGTGGTGAACCAAATCTTAGAGAATTTAGTTAAAGGGAAATAACTTAGACACCCGGAAGAGGCATGGTAAGTGGAACTAGAACAATCTATCCCGCTGGACAAAATACAGGGTTCGTTTTGAAATTCCATTGACCTGAAGACGGCCGGGGCGTACAACGGCTGAAATGTTGTGAATATGGCAATGAAAATGAGGGTAACAGTTCGAATAATGTAAATAATACAATTATGGATTTATATATTAGCTAATTTAACGAAAAGAGCTCGGGAGAACCGTTGCGAATGCCTTTAACTCCATTATGTAGCAATAGAGCCTTCTTTATATTAAATAACGTTGAATTTTTCCATTGCAAGTTCAGGATTGTTAGACACAAAGTAAGGAAGGAATTAAAAGGAATAGCATTAGTCAGCATGCTTAGATTGTTAACCATTGTGATATGACGAGATTCTTGAGTCTGTGAAAGAAAGAAAAATGACAGAGAGAGAGAGAAAGCGAGAGAGTGAGAGAAACCTTCAACATATTTTGTTAGGTAAAGATTGAAAGAATGACAAAACCAACGTAGTAGATATTCTAACTGACAAAAATGGAATTCACAAGAGAAAGTGACATGAATTGAGTAAATCTTTTGGTGTTTGAGGGAGAGAGAGGGGGATTAGGGGGATAGAGAGAGTGGGAGAAGATCAGAGAAATAGAGGGAGAGGGAGAAAGAGAGGTGTGCGGAAGTGGGAGACCAAATGACGCCATTGACGTCGATGCCATATTTTAAAAGTCATCTCTCTTGAAAGCGCCGAGCTTGAAGAATGATATAGAAGGCAAAACACGCACTTTGAGGTTTTCAGAAACGTTACCATTTCTTTGAAATTGTTTCTCTACAACGCCCATTCTCGTTCTTCTTTAAATGAAACCCCGTACTCCATCCACCCCACACGGCTGTCATTTGTAATTATGTGCATGTGACTTGTTTTTCTTTACATTTTTTGGGGTTATATTTTTTACTGAATTTTATTCGTGTTACGATTTTTAATTTGCTATCATTCTCTATAACTCATTTTTCATCTCTTGTATAGTTTTATTTTTATTTTGTTTAAAGATATTTGCTTTCTTTTCCCATGATTCCTCTCTTGATTTTTGTCGTTTCTTTTCAATTAAATTCTTCTTTCTTTCTTTTTTTCTTTCTTTCTTTTTCAAATAAAACTTCTTTCTTTCTTTTTCAATTAAACTTCTTTCTTTTTCAACAAAATTTCTTTCATTCTTTCTTTTTATATTAAACCTCTTTCTTTCTTTTTCAATTAAAAGTCATTCTTTCTTTTTCAATTGAACTTCTTTCTTTTTCAATTAAAATTATTTTTATTTAATTACTTTCTTTTTCAAATAAATATATTTCTTTTTCAATTAAACTTCTTTCTTCCTTTTTCAATTAAACTTCTTTCTTTTTCAATTAAACTTCTTTCTTTTTCTATTAAACTTCTTTTTTTAATTAAAATTATTTCTCTCTTTTTTATTTAATTTCTTTCTTTTTCAAATAAATATATTTCTTTTTCAATTAAACTTCTTTCATTCTTTTTCAATTAAATTTCTTCCTTTTTTCAATTAAACTTCTTCCTTTTTTTCAATTAAACTTCATTCTTTTTCAATTACGTTTACTTTCTTTACATTTACTGTTCAATTTTATTTCTTTGTATATTTTTACCAATACGGATTTTCTTTAACTTTACTTTGTAATAGTATTTTAATATTTTTCCTTCTCTATTTCTTTCTTTTTTCCTTAATCACTTTTTGTATATCCCTTTTTTATTCTTAAAAAAAACTTTATAAAAATTAATTTTCAATATGTTTCATTTTCTCTTTCCTTCACACCTTTTTGTCTGTCTTTCTTTTTCTCTTTGTTTCATCATTTTTTTCTATTTTCTTGTATATTTTGGAAATAATATTTCTTTCTTTCCTCCCTTCTTTCTTACACTCTTTCTTTTTCTTTTATATGTTTCTATTTAGCTGTATAATTTTAGAAATACTTTTTTTATTTATCTTATATATTTCTCTTTGTTTTACTAGTGTTTTTATTATTTTTTAATTATTTTATCGTTTTCTGTTTTTTTTTTTTTTGTTTTTTTTTGTCTTTCTATCTTTCTTTCTTTGCCTTGTTTTCCCTTTTTCCTACATTTACAGCAATGAAAGATTCTACTCTTTCCAGCTTTATGGTCGAAGTATTTCCTTTTTAAATCGAAGACGTGTTCCTTCTTTTCTCTTTCTATGGAGTCTTTCTTTCTTGATCATATATATTAGCAGCCATGATTATCTTTTCCATTTTAGTCTTTCTTCCTGAATTAAAATCTTCATGAGTCAAAGAGAAACTAAATAAATTTCTCTTTGATTCATTTCCCATTTCCTCTATATTGTTCTTGCTTCTATCGTTTTTGATTTTTATCTTTTTTTCTTTGTTTTAATCACTTCGTTTCGAATTGTTTATTTTTGCTTTTTCGTTGTTGTTCTTAAAAATAGAATTGATTCCATTTTCTCTTTCCGTTTCGCGTCTTTCGTACAAAAAAGTCACAGGAATAGTAAAGGTCGATGCAATGTTTAATTATATCGGCGATTAAAAACATTTATTTTATGAAAATATTTGACCTGAATTTCAAAAAAGAAAAAAAAAATAATGAAAATTACTCCAGGTCTATCGATATTAATAACCAACCTGATGTCACTAAAAAAGAAAAGAAAAGAAAAAAGATAGAAACATATTAATAAAACGCAAAAACTGTGAAAACGAATTTTGAAATTATTTGTAAAAACGATAAGAACAAACAAACAATGAATCATCTTTCTTCTACGTTGACGTTTACACGGTTTAAATACTTTTTGTAATTTCTTATATACACTTTTATGGGACTGTTTTTTTTTTCCTTTTTTATACATATCAACTTGTTTTAACGACTTTATTGTCCTCTTTTCGCGTTATAAAAGGATTCTTCTTCTATGAGCCGTATCCTTTCAGGATGTAAGTGATCACGTCTCTACGATTTCCTGTCCGTTGTAGCTCTTCTTAAGTTCAGCCTTTTATTTATCTCTCCTAAACACTGTTCTACTAACAATTTACACAAGTTCATTAGGTAGGTTATTATCAGTTTTCCTCTGTCCCTCTTACCTTCAATGCCCTGTGAGTGTTAAATTTTCCAAGTCCTCTTTCCTTATTAATCGCCCTAGAAATTTCAACTGTCTCTTTCTAATGTGTCCTTTTTGTTCTCATTTTTCTCTATAACTTCGTCATTGCTTACTTGTTCTGTCCAAGACATTCGTAGTGTCTTTATGTAGAACCACATTCTTTTCCTCAAGTTCTTCATCCGTGAAAAGATTGTCTAGCGTTCCCTGCCCTAAAGCACAACCGATATTACATGAGAGTGCAGTACACTTTTCTTCGGTTCTCAAGAAATTTTCTTGTTTCTTAATACTTTGCTTAGCTTTTGGAAGGTATATTTCGATATTTTTTTTTTAAGCATTACGCCCCGAACAAGGCGTTAAGCCACTAGGATGCAGTGGGTTGCAGAAGATTTGGAGCGAGAGCAGATAGGAGTGATAGAAGAAAGGATGAGAAGAGGGATAGTTGATAGATCAAGGTAACTGAAGATGTCGATTGACATTACATTTGAATAGTTGGAGATTATAGCTCTCAGGGAAACAGTAATAGGGAAGGGTGTTCCACAGGCGAGAGGTGCGAGGTATGAAGTTATTGGAGTAGAAGAGACGGCTACATTTAATAGTTTCGACAGTGAAAGCTGAGAGCGGGATGCCAGCCTCGTAGGGCGCTTTAATTCATGAAGTCTGGGAACCAGTGAAAGCAGCTCATCGGAGCAATTACCATGGAAGTATTAAAAAAAAAAAAAGAGAGAGAGGCGACGGCGCGTCTGTGAGAGAGTGACTGTAGACGAGATGTCAGATCAGGGCCAATTATATCACATATCCGTCTCTGGATCTTGTCAAGAACTCCGAGGTAAACAGAAGGTGCACCAGACCATATATGACAGCAATACTCCATGCAAGATGCATCTTCTTTTTACTTTTCTAATAAACTCATATGTGATCTTTCAAACTGATTTACACTTCCAATTACATTTACTGATATAAATGACAGTTCATAGCTCTCTTTTTTCATGTCAGAAAACTTACGGCCATATCACGTTGAAACACCTGTTCTCGTACGATCATCGAAGTTAAGAAAGTCTGGTCACTACCTAGATGGGTGACTGTTTGGGAATACCAGCTGCAGTAAGCGTGGATGTGCGGTTGGTGTAATGGATAACAGCTTAGAATTGAATATGGAAGTGCTGTGTTTTAACACTAGTCAGGTTCGTGGTTTTCACTTACACGCAAATAGCATTGGGAAAGACATAGATTCACCACTTATCCCCCACCTATGGGTTAATTAGTAGGACTTGTATCAGCAAATTATTATTATATTCCAAAAATATTCTTACAACTAAAAATAGTGTAATCGAGTAAAAAATGTAGGTTATCTTCCGGTTCGTACAAGAGTCCAAATGGTAAACATAGATTCGCTTTGTACAAGTCAAAATAGGTCCGGACTGAACTATAAAAATAAAACTGAAGATTTACACTACGGTTGAAATGGTAGACATAGATCCGGGTTGAATAAAAATAAATAATAATAATAAAAATAAATAATAATAATAATAACAACAACTACCACTACTTCCACCTGTGGCTTTAAGCCCTGATTAAACGAGAGGAAAAGTTTAGTTATAGGTCCGGATTGAACAAGAATAAGAAAAAAAAATATGTAGATATAGCTATGGTTTACTCTTCCGTCAAAATGTTAGAAATATGCCCCAACTGAACTAGAGTAATAATAATAAAAACCTGTAGATTCAGGCCCTGATTAAACTATGGTTTACACTATTGTCATAAAAGTAGATAAAAGTATGGTTTATTCTTGAATCTGTATGTATCCACTTGGTTGTTGTTACTTTTTGGGGGGTGTTCTTAACCTTCTGTAGTTTATGCAGTCGGCGTATTTAACATGGCGCCGATAATCTTTGTTGTAATTTTGATTTTACTTGTAACAAAGTTTAGCATGTGATTGATTTCATTTCGTTTCTCGTTTTCTTTTTGGCCTTACATTCATATTTATTCAGTCTTTGTTCCATTGTATTTTTCTATCTTTCTACAATTCTGAAAATATCGGAATCCTGAAAATTAAAGTTAAATAAATTTGATAAAAAGAAATAGTAAAATAATTTTGAAAAAAAAAACAAACCACGAGGTTAAGTTTTACTATTTGATCCACAGCTATTTTTTTAATATTTTGTTTCCATTTAAAGTATCCCTCTTTTAAATCTAATAGTAATTTATAATACTTTCGCCGTATTATATCGAGCATGTTAAGTACTAAACATTCAAACATCGGTAAATGTAAGCATCCGTAACTTAAAAAAAAAAGCGCTGACACCGTTTTTAACCTCAAATACGGTTCCTTTTTCAGTAATTGCTTGGTGCCTGTTTGTAATCAGTAAAAAGAAAAGGATTTCGCTTTCTTTCATGTGAAAATTTCACATTCTTTATCGATCTGAGCCTGGAAGATGTACGTTTAACGCATCGATTTACTGTCACGTTTTTCCTGATTAATCGATCATTTTTCTAAGTAGTTCTACAACGGTTTTTTTTTTTTTATCAGCGAATCTTTTATGGTAGATTCAAACTAGCAAGGTGACCTATCATTACTCGTGATAACATGGTTGTGATAAATATCAGTTTAAGATAAAAGTTGATGACTTACATACACTGTTCTTGCTACTAATCTTACGTCCTTTATCTTTTCCCTTAGTGTTTCAAGAAAGATTCGCTTGATTGATTCATGTTTTTTATGGTTTATCAACCATTTCCAAGTCATTTAAAGCCAGAAAATATGTTTAGACTTTAAGAACTTTGTGGAATATAATAATGATTTCGTGATAATAATCATACTAATTAGCGGTGGGGGGGTAGAAGAGGTGGATTCCTCCCTAATCAGAAATAATAAAGAAATAATAATGTGGATACAAAGTCGGGGTCCATTCTATATTACAAACAATATTTACACTGATCTCTCATTTTGTGGTTACTGTAGTTTATATACATTTATATTACAGAAAATTTTAATATATTTTATTATTATCACTTATGTACGATGCATGATACACGCTTTCGATACATGACTGACGAGGCAGATTTTTCCCGCAGTAGGTTGCCATTTCTTTCTGCAGTAGACCATATGCCATCCAAAGCTATAGAAACCGGTATTTACCCATAGCTGGGTGGTGGAGAAGAAGAGAATTCATACCTTTCACGTATGTGAATATAATGGATTCGACTGGAATTTGAACTCGGCTCTCCGATTCCTCAATCCGAGCCGCTATCCATTAATCCACCGTGCCTCCTTATTTTATTGTTATACGTTATTTATATAGACAATATTTTATTTAACAACATCTACCGGCCTGAACGTCCGAAAAATCGCATAGAAAATACGCATCCTCCGACAGGAATCGAACCTGTATCCTGCACGGAACCGTTATATAGCCTGACGTGCTACACCAGTTTAGCTACAGAAGAGCGTCTGGTTAGCGAGGCCGAGTTCACTGTCTTTGAACTACAATTTTCCATGATTTCGCTCGAACGTTCATATTTCCTCAAAGTGTATCTAGCGTATATATGACGTATATATAAAGCGTATATATGACGGTCCCGTGTCGGATAAAGGTTCGATTCCTGCCAGAGGACAAATTTTTTTATAAAAATTTCTCGGATGTTCACGCTGGCAAATGATGATAATACTGTTTATTATAAACAGAACATTTACTTAAATATTTGTGTCTATTTAAATAACGTATAACAATAAAATATATTAAAATAATTGTCGGACATTGCCAATTTCGCATTCCAGAGAATGTAAATAAATCTAAAAGACATACCTTTGTAGCGTACAAGAATCAATGTTTCAACGCTATATGGTCGTAGACATTTCAGAAATATATATGAAATAAATATAAATATTAATTAAAGGTGACGGAATTTAAAAATCGAATGGTGAATGCAAGCTAATTATTCAATATTTCTTATTTTCTATATATTTTCTTATATTGAAGATTTCGGCTCTCGTTTTGAAACATGAGAACTCTTATGTAGCGATGGAACCATATTTTTAAATAAATAATTATATTTAGGCTCTACTTTTGTATCGAGCACTGTTTTTTTTAAAAATGATAAAAATACTAAAGAACTTTGGATTATTTACCTAACGAGTTCTTTCCTATTTTCTATATATTTTCACACACACACACACACACACACACACACACACACACACACACACACACACACACACATATATATATATATATATATATATATATATATATATATATATACTCACAAAAAAAATAGTGAGGTAGGTAGGGATGGCTCCAATTCATTTATTATACGGATTACAATCTTTGCTAGATTATCGACTCTTTAGTGATTTAAAACCAGAAATGCTTTTAAAGTTTCTACTACACTACTAACCATCAGTCGTTATGATTGATATAATGCATCTTCCCATACATGGTCAGAACTGACTTCTTATATTGCTTCTGACACAAATGTCAAATCAATTCCTACTGTCGACGGTAATATTTACGGTAATATTTAATATATACGAACGGATATACCTACATATGATTCTTAATGTAACTTCCATGAATGTAACATGACCAGATTGTTGGTGATCTTACTTTTGATGGAAACTGTCGGGTGTTAAATTCGAATAAAGTACAATTGAAATTCCTAAAAGTGTTTCGAGGTTGTATGGAATTTGGGTAAAACACAACTTTTCACATAAAATATTCCCTCGGCTCGAGAGTTGGCAGTTTAATCAATAACAATTTCTGTAGCCTGGACGGGAATCAAAGTTTTGCTACTTCTGAATTCTCATTGAGGGTTGAGTGTCTCCGATGCGGGCGACTAAAAAGCAAAGATTTCAATGCCATTCCATGGAGCTATGCCCGCAAGTGCTCATCACTGGATTTGCGAAACGCTGTACAAGTGCACTTACTTTGCTGTGAATAAGTAATACCTTGCGGGCATTCGTCGGGAAAGGGCGGTTCTCAAACGGCGAAGGGAGTAAATATTTCTCAAGTGGTTTCTCACATCTTCTATTGTAATCTACAAAAGTGCTTTAAGAGACACCCTCCTCCTTCTATCTAACTCTCCCAACGAGAAGGTGTTGGTTTGTTATTTACAAAGATTTTAATCGTAATTACTGACAAAGTACATCGACTTATTTGGGATGTGTGAGGTATAACAGACGTAAGGGGAGACATTCTCATGTTTCTCTGTATACATATACAAAATGCATGTTAATGATCTCTACGACATCTTAAGTGTTTAATAGATTAGTATATATGTTTACACACACACACACACATATATATGAATATCGGTTTGATGTCAAGAATGCAGTAAGAGAAACTTGTTACCTCATGTGTATTGTAGATCTTAAAGGAGAAATATTTACAATGGGCGCATAGTTGAGATGTTTTTCTGAGTGCGTGTGCATATTCTAGTGTAAGAGATAACAATCGAGCAAACACAAGCATATATATCCACACCCCAAATGATGGAAAATTAAAGTAACTACACGCCCTGCACGCCCACACACACACACACACACACACTATATATATATATATATATATATATATATATATATATATATATATATATATATATATATATATATATATAGGAAAAGACAATATTTATAAGGCATTTTTAAAAGCAAAAGCTAAAAATAAAGGTTCTAGAGTCCTTGTATATCAGATCCCGTGAGGGAATGCTTGCTGGGTCTGAATATTATTGGACTCTAGTTTCTTGAAATTCATATTTTTTTTTTCCCTATTCGATTAAATTCGTTAATTAAAATTAATTTACACGCTTTTTTAAATTCCCAGAATAAATAAACTTGATAAGTCCTGGGACGAAACCGGTTGTTTTTATTATCACTTTTACTTTTAAAAAATGCCTTAAAATATTGTGTTTTCCTATCTATTATTCAATTCTGTACCACGAAAAACTTATTTAAATATATATATATATATATATATATATATATATCTGTAATTTTTTCATTATACTGTGAGTGCTGTCTCATATATGCACGTTTAAATATCGTCAATATTAAAGTAATTTTGATGATTATAATTATAATGGATACAAGATAATATGTAATATTT